CCTTCAAATCAAGGCCCTTCCCCGTCTCTGTGTCCCTCCTTTGGACACTCTCCAATGGCTCAATCCCTTCCTTATATTGTGGTGACCAAAGTCCTTTTTAGCCTGGGATGATCATCGTGTCCTCCCTGGCCTTTCCTGGGAATGAGCTCTCCCTGGTTTCTGTGGATTAGTCTCCTCTCCACCACAGTAGCTCGGAGCTGCCCCAAGTGTGCCTGTGCAGGGTCAGTCCCATAACCTGAAGGGCCTGCCTTGGAAAACTCCCCACATGAGGCTGCTGAGCATTGTCACAAGCAACTGTGAGGGAGATGGAGGCATTTGGAGAACACAAGGCACATCAGATAAACACCTTTGTGCCTGGAAGGTGTGTTTGTCTGAGGGCTCCTCTGGATGGAGGTTGATGATGTTTTACTTGGCTGCCAGCTCGAGCAGCTCTCCGTGTTCAATGCATCCCACGCTCTGTGTTATTACACTTCAAACCCACTTTGTTTGCAAAGTAGGAAAAGCTGTCAGAGGCCATTAATCCAAACAGAATTTAATCTCTCAAACAGCATTTACTCAGGCAGAGCTGCTAAATCTATATATTAAAAAACTGTTGACAATTAATTAAAATGCTTCTCTGCTAAAGTGTGAATGGGGATGCTCTGCAGGGCACTGCCAGAGTGCCAGCACCCCCTCCCTGGGACACACACCTTGCAGGATCAGAGGCAGAGCCACTGCTCTGCAGGCATTGCTGTGCTGGCAGCACTGCTGCTTCCTGGCAACAGCAGGGCTGGAGGGACAGGCATGGAAGGAACACAAAACTGGGCATCCTGCACATGATGAAGAGCATCACAAGCTGTACACTGCAAGGGTGTAGCTTGGAAATTGTGAGACAGGAGCCCAGAAGCGCCTGAACAAGACTTAGAGGTATCACCCAGTGGGAGATGAGAAGACACAGTCCTAGTGTTGGATCTCAGGCAAAGGTTCTTCCCCCAGAGGCTGGTTGGGCACTGCCCAGGCTCCCCAGGGCAGTGGGCACAGCCCCAAGGCTGCCAGAGCTGCAGGAGGGTTTGGATGATGCTCTGAGGGACAGGGTGACATTGTTGGGGCGTCTGTGCAGAGCCAGGGGTTGGACTGGATGATCCTTGTGGGTTCCTTGCAGCTCAGGATATTTTGTGATTCTGGTGTAGTTCCTAATAAGGCAAGATAATGAATTGGAAGATGGGTTTGGGGAAGTCATCAAGACAGGGAGACACAGCCTGCACAGCACGTGCCAGACAGCCCTGAGTGTCTGTGAGAACAGGAAGGAGAGGGGAGATGACCTTTCCAACTGGCAAAAGTACATCTCCACGACTGTTCAATTGTCAGCACAAGGATCAATTTTCCCCCATTGGCCTGAGGTATGTGACATTTCTTTTAAGTCCAGCTCAGAATTATTTCAGTTTTCTCTAAGACAGAAGCACTTATGGAATGATTATTGCCTTCACCGCTGATGACAAAATGCTGCTGTCTAAAAGACCAAAGTTACAGAGATCAGAAACCTCCAAAAACTGGGGCTGCAATGGCCAAAGCAGTAAATGTGTCAGAGTGGAGGCAGAGAGGGCACAAAATCATAGAATTGCACAATAGTTTGGGTTGGAAGGAAGATTTAAAGGCCATTGAGTCCCAACCCCCTGCAATGAACAGGTACCTCAGGTCGCTCAGAGCCCTGTCCAAACTGGCCCTGAATGTTTCCCTTCTTTACTCTGTGAACAAAAGCACCATCCTTTCCTGCCCACAGTGTTCTGTGGCATCAGGTACCAGAGAGGATGGGGCTGGAAGACACCCCTGTGCCATCTGTCAGACAGACCTGGAAAGGAATGGTTACCTGTCTCTCCTGGTCTCTCCTGGTTGCATGGCTGGGCACAGATTCCTGCCAGCACAAGTCCTGCCTTTCCTGGTGTAATTTCCTCTCTGAGGAGACCAAAGACTCAGGGTCAAGACCTGCTCCTGTTCCTTATTTTTCTGTTCTTGTGCAAGTTACTCAGATGGTTCAAATCACACTAGAAATGATGGGACAAAACCTGTGGAGAATTGGTTGCAGATCTTCTCTATTCCCAGTGTCAGGAAGAACAACATCTAGTCAGGAGGCGTCTCCCTGGACTCAAAAGGTTGTCCAAGTTTGCTCTGGGCCACTGAGGTTTCTGCTCCAGCCATGGGCCATGTTCTTCTCTTTGAATTGTGTTGGTTGTCGTGGTTTTTCTTCCAAATTACTGCTTGCTGTACTTCCTCTTGGAAATATGTACAGGGCTGTTTCATTACCTAGTCCTTTGTTTTCCTTGTTCTGGTATAAATGTATCAGCATGTACAAATGTGACCCTAACAGGCAGTAAAAGCTAATCACAGGAGGTTTCTGCCTTGCTACCACCCCACAGGACAGTGCAGCATTAATCAAAGGTCTGAGCCAGGCATCTCCACACCTTGTTAAGGGACAAAACCCGGAGCCCCCTGTGGTGCTGGCACAGCACGGGGAGCTTTGTTGGACATGGGTTGGACACTGACTGATGACAACACCCACCACAGTCCACCAGGAACCACCTCCAGGGAGCTCCAAACCAGCACGTTGTGTTCCAGCCAGCACAAAGAACCACCAAACCTCACCTCAGACAACACTGATCACCACCGGGAAACCAAAACCCTTTAACTTCCTGCAAAGCTCTTAAATATCCACCTTCCTCCTGCCTCCCTGCACCCAGCGTGGAAAGGGCAGGGAGCCCCATGGAGAAAAGCTGGGTGGAGGCAGCAGCAAACACAGAGCTGATGAAAGAGATGTTTTTCCTGGGGGTTGGCTACCCCTGGCTGGTGCTGTGGAGTGCAGCCCACCAGGGCTGAGCACAGCAGGGGAGTTGCTGCTCTCTTCATCCCTCCAAGAGTCGTCTTCAGGTCAGGGAATTAAAAGCTGCTCCTTTTCCACTTGGTAGCACCACCAGCAATGCTTCAAATACTGCTCCTTGGCTCTCTTTGACAGCAGAGAGACCTGGAATGTGAGGGGAAGAGAAGGGCCAAGCACTGGTCCCTTCTCCCCCTTACAGGTCCTGGAAATGAGTTTGTCTTCCTTTCTGGAAATTTGCCCTTCAGCTGGCAAACAGAGATTGATTTTTTTCTGGGGGTTGTAGAAACTGGAAATGAAAACAGATAATTTTAATATTAGCAACAATTTCATTTCATTACCACCTTTTCTTGCTAAAACATCTGTGCTGCTCTTTGCCAGATCAGCTCCATGGTTTGCAAGAGCAGCCAGAGGAAATGATATTTGGACTTTTATCACAGTGTAGATGAGAATCTTTCTTGTTGGATCTGTGCAAATGACAGTGGCACTGAATTGTGATTTTTGGAAACAGAATAACTGCTCCTGACATCTCCCCAAACTTGATCTTTACAGGTTTAAATATTTTCCTCATCACATTATGCTTCTTCCAACTGTCTTTTTATAGCCTAAGACAAATGACTTAAACATCACAGTAATATAAAAAAGATTTTTTTCAGGTTGGGAATCTGTTTGATTTCTGTGCACACACCCAGGGCTGTACCAAACATGTCAGGCAGGACTGTTTCATTTGGAGGGATTTGGTTTTAAATGGGTGAGCACTTGATTGTTATTGAATAACATGACACAACAAGAGATGTGTGGCTGGGCACTGCTCTGTCCTGCTGTAATTCCATAGAAACCATGCATGGAAAAAAAAGAAAGGAGAAACCAGAGAAAACCTCAAAACCTCATTTTAAAACCCAGCTCAAGGTTTTTATGAGGTTGGGTAACTCAGGAGTCTTCCTGCAGAAGTGCTGAATCCACACCTCCCTTCCCTTTCCCTTTCCCTTTCCCTTTCCCTTTCCCTTTCCCTTTCCCTTTCCCTTTCCCTTTCCCTTTCCCTTTCCCTTTCCCTTTCCCTTTCCCTTTCCCTTTCCCTTTCCCTTTCCCTTTCCCTTTCCCTTTCCCTTTCCCTTTCCCTTTCCCTTTCCCTTTCCCTTTCCCTTTCCCTTTTGCCTTCCCTTCCCTCTCTAAGTGGGATAATCACTCTGTTGTTTCAGGGCAACAATTAAGCTCATTAACATCTTTTTTCTTAAAAAGACAAAGCAGTTCCCTTTGCTTTGACTAATCCAACCAGCCACCAGCAGCCTGTCAGCCAAAGAGACTTTACAAATCCAAACTCTTGGCTGTGCAGGTGAAGGGGGTGTGTGGAGACAGTGGGGACCTGCTCAGCATCCTTGGGAGGGGTTTGATCTCTCGGGTGTAGGAGACTCTGCTGCCTCTGGCTGAGACTGAGCCTGGGGCAGGGAGGGACCATGTCCTGCCTGCCAGGGCTGTGCCAGAAGCTGTGTCACCCACTCCAGGAGATGCAGGAGGAGTTGAACAGGCTGTATGGTGTCGGGAAAGATGATTTATGGGCCCTTCCCAGAGACAGGAGGCTGTGGGTTTTCAGGACACACTCAGAGCCAAGTCCTTGTAACTTTAACTGGCCAAACCTGAGCAACATGAGCCCTGCACCATGGAACTCCTGTCCAGCTTGTTCCTTGGCCAGGGCTCTCACCAGATGTCCCATTGACAGCTGACATTAGCACAGCCCAGGGCTGCCAAACACTAATTCCATCAGCACCAAGGCCCCTTGTCCCCATCACACAGGCTTGGACACCCCTTTCCCATCACAATGTGACCTCTGACGCTTAATTGTGGGATTGCTCTTGGTCAGGGTCTCCTGAGAGCTTCTCAAGCAGCACAGACGACTCTGTGTCCTTATTGCAGACCTTGGGTGTTGATAACCTCACGTGCACGAGCATGTGAGGAGCTTTTGGGAGCTTGTGGAACATCCCTGGTAGTTTCCTTGCTCTGCCCTATCCCACTTTGAGCAGTGGGTTCTCCCAGTGCTACAGATCATTTAGTGTTTTTCAGTCTGCCTTGTCAATCCCTCCAGGCACCTCCAGGTCCTCCCTGGTGGAGCTGATACCAGATTGCAAGCCCAGATCCATGCTGACCCCCTGTGAGGCACCAGTTCACACTCCTGGAAGGACGTGGGAAAGCACCAGTACTGTGCCAGAGTTCTTCAGGGGATTCTGGTAATAACTGACCATATTTCCCATTTATTTCCCTTTTCCCACTGAAAGGAAGTACTGGAAATCCCAAGGTAAGATTTGCCATCTGTTCCCTTTATCTTTCTTAAAGGGAATTGTACTGAAGCACCTTAATGGAGAGACAATTCCTGCCCGTGTAAGGGCTGATGGTGTCCCTTGGCTGTGTCTGTACCTGGCTGTGAGTGCAAACAGCAGCTCCTCACAGCATTTTGGGCACTGAGAGCAGGAAGCCTCGGAAGGGATTCATCTGTAGAACAAGGCAGGCAGGGTGGGGGAGTTGGTCCCTTTTTTTTCCCTTCTGCTTTGTGAAGAAGTTACAAACTGCCCTGGACAGCACAGCTGCAGCTGGGAGCACTCGTGTAACCAACTAAAATGGGTCTTGTGGGAAGCCAAGTCCTCTGTTGGACTGATACATTCAAAGCTCATTGGATAAGATGCAGAGAGACGGGAGAACAACTCAGGAGCTCCCACTTCCCAGAGGCTTCCCATGATCCAGACCTGTTTCTCTATTGTTTCCCCAGCACAATGACTCTTACTATACTTTTCTGGACCAAGGCTGGACTTTGGTCTGGTGGGACTGAAGTGTAGCATCACCTCCATCTCCATGAGGTCAGACTAAACCCAGTGTGCACTGGAGTAGCCTGAGGTTCTTTGGCAGAGTTGGTCCTTTCCCTGCCTTCCTTCCCACATCAGCCAGCAAATGCAGTTCTCAAAGTAGTTTCAGGGCACATCTGCCAGGGGAGTCACTACAAAGTTACCAAATTTGCAAGTCCTAAGTGGTTGGGAGGGGGAGACAGATGCTGAGCACTCCTTGAAGCTGCTGTGGTGCTTTTCTTTACCATCAGGCTTCAGGTGCCTGTGTGATACATCCATTCCAACAGCCCTGGGAAAGCCTGTTGAATAGTTTTCCTTGGATTGACCTCACTTGTATTAGTTGAACACAGAATTATCCCTTCTGACTGCAAGGCTTCTGCTGCAAAATCCTTCCCAGGCCTTTTCCAAAGCTTCAGTAACAGCAAAGGTGTCTTTTCAAGGACCACTAACTCCTAGAAGCACTAGCACAACCTCATTTCCCAACTGTGTGAAAGCAATGAACCTCCTAAACTTTAACTGCTGTTCTGGAGTGCCTGAAAAGGTCTTATTAATTAGGAACTGTGCTGATTATACCTTGTTCTTTCAAGGCCATAAGCAGAGCTGAGCAAAGAATTGAAAACTAGTCATTCAATGAGTTAATTACTTTCAGCAGAGTTTGTGCTGTCCAGTGAAATGATCCGACTGATCCCATATCCCAAATTGTGCAGTTATGGCTTTAAGTGGGCTTGTCCTACTGTAACTTTATTATGACAGAGAGAATTCCAGCCCTTGTGCTCTGCTGGAACCAGTTACATAGCTGTGACCTCATCCCAGAATCCCTGAGGTTGGAAAAGACTTTCAAGATCATCAAGTCAATGAAGATGGGGAAGGGCCTTGATTTGAAGGTGTGTGAGGACACTGAGGGCACTTGGTGTGTTCAGCTGGAGCAGAGGAGACTGAGGGGAGAGCTCAGTGCAGTTCCAACTGCCTGGGCAGGGGCAGAGGAGGGGCAGGGACTGAGCTCT